TTTTATCCCACCCGCCATACTCTCCAGACCCTGCTCCTACCGACTCCTACTCTTTCGACTGCTGCAAAGCGATTCAGTTCAGGTTCAGGACTCAGGACGAGGACTGGCTGATTAATTGGATAGAGGACATGGAGATTTGGTAGGCGAGATGTTCGCTTTTTCATATATAGACGGACAATACTTTGTATCTAAATTAAAATGAATTATATTAAAATAAAAAATTACGACTAAGAATTTGAAAGAGAAAAGGGGAAAAAATAAGATAAATGAAAGTTAATAAATAGAAGCTTTATTAAGAAACCAAATAAAACTAAATTAAAATAATAAAAAATTAAATAAAAAAATAGTTAAATGAGGAAATTATAAATATATTGTAAAAAAATAGTAAATTCAGTGAAACTAAGATGAAGTTACAACAAAAATAACAATAAATAAAAAAATAAAATTAAAAAAAGTAAATAAACTTAAATAAACATAAAATATAATTTAAATTAAACCAAAATAACATAAAATTAATAAAATAAATATAATATTAAACAAACATGTTATCGTTTACTATTATATTCTTTAGGCTCATTATTTTTTCTCATAACAGGATACACTCACACTCGTTAGAGTTTCTCAAGTCACGACGTCACTTAAGTGGTTATAATTAAACTGTCGATCGCGTATCTGCGATTTAAGACTGGATTTTGTTGCTAAAAACATATATGTATGTATGTATGTTATAAAGAAATAAAGGAATTAATGCTATAAGCTTATTAACTGTGTGTTGGCTAGATTCGACAGTGAAAATTAAACGAACACTGTAATCGATAACCGATCGTTTGAAGTTATCGTATTGAATTCATAGTGAAAAAGAATTTCAACTTTACTTCCAACAGATTTTTAAGAAGCTAATTTTAGTATTATCTGAACGTTGCACCCGTGAGTTGGAAATTACGACGAAAAACCGAAATTTTTATTTTATTTCTATTTCCGTAATAAACAGAAAATTTACAATAAAATTACAATGGAGTTTTAGGAATAGTCTTTCTTCAAAATTGCAAATTTCGTTATTGCCATTATTATTATTATTATTATGCTAACAGCTAAAAAGTTATAGAAAATTAATTTAAATAAAAAAATTAAGCTATATTTTCTAATTGCGGTCGCCCCTCGACAGGGATAGTCCACCCCTCTGAGTGTATTTCGGACATGAAATAAAAGCTCCTCGTAAAAAACTATCAGCCCTTCTGAGGCGGCTTAGTATAAACTGCAGGTCACTCATTTGTTGGAAAAATATCAAGGCGCAAAACCTCGGCCAAAAATCGCTTCAGCGGTTTTATTTCAATAGGAAACAGTTTTTGAGATTTGTACACTAGTTTTGAATATTACTTCAATCTTTCAATGGACCAAAGCTACTTATCGCCGTGTAAAGTCTACTTTTAGAAAGATATTTTTTTTTTTTACAAAACAGATAAAGATAAGCTAATTCTTAACTTAAGCTACCCAATATTATTTGGTCTGTTTCATTGAAATAACAATATACAGTTAGTTTTTGTTTCTTTTTAATGTTGTTTTTTTTTTTTCTTTTCATGGTGACAAAGAAATACGATCCACACAACTCGCAGTCTGCCAGACCTCAATATCATCGAATTTCACAACAAAGCACACAACACATAATAAACATGTGACACTGCACTAAAGATCAAAAGACAAAGATCGAAAAAACTCATGAATCTTCGTGCTTCCCAGAATAAGCGAATGAGTAATCAAAGCATGTAAGAGAACATGTTGCAACATGGACCGTTGAAAAACAGGCAAACGTGGCAAAAAAAAAAACAATATTAAATTTAAGTGTAAAATGAATTGAAGTAATAAAGCGTATGGAAGAAAAGTGATAAAGGAGCGAAGTAAAAGAAGTAACAAAAATAAAAGAAATACAAAAAGGAAATAATGCAACAGAAATGACAGAAAAATCGTAAAAAAAAAAATACGAGTTCAACCACTCAGCAGATAGACAGACAGACTAATACATATTTATGCATACAAACAACATTTAATTGAAGAAAAATTGAGGGAAGAACATATGCGTTGAGCGATTGTCAAAACAATGAAAATTACATAGAAACGTTTGTCATTAATATTCAATGGTGAATGAATTTTTTCCCTCAAGTTAATTTTGATAAAAAAAAAAATCGAATTTAAAAAAAAGAAGCAGCGTGAGTAAAGTAACATATAATTCTGCAGCATTAAACGGCCGAGACGAAAAACTAGATGCTTGGAATTAACCTGAAAATGAACTTTTTTTTAAACTGCTTCGAACCTAGAACAATTCGTTGTCTAAGTTTTTAAAGCTCAACTTGTTATCAGATCTAGAAAGAAAGTCTAGAACTCTTCGCTTTCTCTGCTCCCACATGCAGAAACGGCATTGATATCCTAACGGATAGCAGACTGAGCAAGCTTAGCCGCTGTTTCTATTTGCCGAACTACAGACAGTCGGCCGCAATAGCCGAGTGATAGTCCGAGTCTCAATCCGACCAACATCCATAATTATAGAAAACCAACTTTTCTAAACGCTTCAGCGCTCATTATGTATGTAAATGAAGAAACTTTGCGCAAACCCTTTTTCTCGATAATTCTAATACCTACTCGTAGAATGTCGTAATCAACCACGCTTCTGTGGCATACTCTAAGAGACCTGTTTGTCCTCATCAGAAGGTGTAATAATTTTCCTTGTTAGACAACTGCGATGTTTTTATGGGTTCTAAATGAAAGCAGCTTCCTTTAAGACCAACATCTGCTCGCAAACATACCATTAATGAGACAGCAGCTATACCTACACTAAGAGTGACTTAGCTCACGTTGGTTATCACAACTTGCAAAAGAGTTCTTCCATTTCAAGCACGCGCCTGTAACTGCGAAATTCTAGTCTATTATATCGGAGCCCGATTAGATCGACAATACGAAGGCTTGGCAGAAGATTTGTGTACGAGTTATGTAAAATCGTCTTTAAATTTCTTTTAATGCCGCCTGAGCAGCTGCCGCTGGTTTGAAAAAAAAAGAACGCGCTGTGTCCAATATCCGGTCGACTTAATCGCCTAGCAGAGTAGTTAATTCGACCTAATATGGATCGTTTTCTCGTTTACTCTAGAGGATATTGCGCATCCTCAAAGATGCCGTACAGTGCGCACCGAAAACGCCATTGCTGTTGTGGAGTAGAGTTCGATGAAGACCCAAATGAGTCCATTTGCCAACTGGAGCTGTGCCCATCCACTTTAGGGAAGATTTTGCGGAAGAATTTTGATTTGCGCGTCACGTATTCGGCGAACAGGCCTAAAACGAGATGGAAACCGTTCCGAATTTTCACATGAAATTTTTTTCAACATTGAAGCTCACTTTCGATTGAGCGGGTAGATTAACAAACCAAATGGTCGCATTGGGAGTGATAATAATCCAGAAGTCATTGTTGAGATCGTGATACATCCTCAAAAAGTCAATCTTTGGTGACGTCTATGGACAAAAGGAATCATTGGTCCATATTTCATCAAAATTTAAGCAGGTCATGATGTAAACAATCAATGTAGGGAATAATCGTAAGATCTTTGTATAATGTAATAGAAGGATGTTGATGTGGACGGCTTTGGATTCCGAGAAGACGGCGCTACATGCCATACAACCAACAAACCAATCAATTTATTGAAAGAAACTTTTGATTAGTGCATTAACCCACGTCGTGAGCCTGTTTCGTGGCCCACAAGCTGATGCGATTTAACTCGACTGGACTATTTTTGGAGGGATTATGTGAAGTCGCATGTCTACGTAGATAGGCCTAAGGCAACTAACGCGTTGGCGCGTTATTATTGACATACGCCTCGAATTGTTATAAAAAGTGATCGAAATTTGGACCTATAAACTGGAATTTGCTCGGACCAGTCGCGGCGAAATTTTGCCTGAGATCATTTGTATATTAAAAAAGAATGGCACACCCTTATATTCATAATAAAGCTAAGCTCTTATTCATAACATCAAATTATAGGCGGCCGCAATAGTTGAGTGTTTAGCATTGTGTACCCATATTCGAAAGACCACAGTTCGAGTCCTGGTGCGGCCAACATTTAAAATAAGAAAAAATAAATTTTTCTAATTAAGGTCGCTCCTCGGCAGGGGGCAGAGTATATTTCTGTAGGTCCCCACATTTGTTGGAAAAACATCAAGACGGAAAACAGTTTATACTAAGCCGCCTCCGAACGGCTGATGGTTTTTATTTCTGAAGATCTTTTCATTTTCATGTCAGAACTACACTCGGAGGGGTTGACATTCCCTGCCGAAGGGCGACCACAATTAAAAAATTTAACTTAATTTTTGATTTAAATTAATTCTCTTTTAAATTTTGTATATTGGTCGCACGCGGATTTGAACCTGAGCCTGCCGAATGGCAGTACGCAATGCTAACCACTAGGCCACCGCCTCGCATATACTCGTGTGCTTATTTCGATTTTAATTAGTGTATTTGATAGAGCTTAATTAGAATGCCAATAAACGCATGTCTGACAAGTAACCAACCTACTCAACTCGTACTCTATCAACATTTTGTCAGCAGAACTAAAAGCAAGCAAACAAAAAAAAAGTGGGGGAAAAGCGACAGACATACAGTCTCGGAATAAGCATCGTTATATCGGTCTAATTAACTACCTAATCAGTTAGGCTGAGCCAATTTGTTGTAAGTAATGTATATATTTGTATGTGCCACTACAAATGGGTTATATTTAAATAACAGTATTATATCGAAATAATATCTGATGGAATTATCTTGTACAAGTGCACGCGCGTAACGTATAACTGTCAATTTAAATTAAATGCCGATTTCCTGCGGATAAATTGAAATGAGCGGAATGTGAGTTTTTCGATGCTACAATGAAAAATTGACACTCACACACACAAACACACACACACATATTCAATTTCATATTTTGATTTATTTATTATAATTTGTTTTTTTTTTTTCGTAAACTCACCTAAACGCAGTTCTCCGAAATTACCACAGCCAATTTTTTTACCAACACGAAAATTTGGTCCGACCATAAGTACCCCCGTTGAGGCGCCTACAGCTTGGCGGGTGGCATACATGTTGCCGGAACTGGTTGTGTTGCGTGTTCCTCCACCGCCGCCACCTCCGCCGCCGCCACCACCACCGGTACCTGATGTTCCAGCAGCCTGTGTTCCACCACCACTGCAATTAATATAACAGAGAGAGAGAGAGTTAGAGAGAGATTTTTACGTTATTAAAACACTATTAACAAAATGCAATTGTAAGAAATAATTTTATAAAGTAGCAAAGCAGGCGTTTACAAAAAAAAATATACATACAAATGTATGTATGTATGTTTGTAAAATTTCACAAAAAAATATGCTTTTTACTGTCTCTTAATAAGTAATGCAGACTTTTTTGTTTTTGGTATGAATTACACATTATTCTGCATGAAAGTTCAACGTTAAACATTTTTATGGTTTCGTACAAAAATTGCTTTCTTTGTGTTCAATACAACTGCGTTCGAAAAAGAAAAATTGCCATTAATTGGCAAAACTGAACGTACAAATATTTCTTGATTTCTTTTATAAATTTTGGCGCCATTCTTTATGGACGTTTATGGAACAACAACACACAAACAAATTATTAATACACATTGACAGGCAGCATAAAATTTTTTTATTTATCTATTTTTTACTTTCATTATTTTGTTTAAAAAATGTCAAGCTTTTTTAATGTTTATTTTCGTTCGTTTATTCTGATTTTGTCTTCGCTTTTATTTTTTTTTTATTTATATTTTTTTTTAATTAAGCTTGTTTCATTTGTTAGTATTTAATTTTGTTGTAATTTTTAGTCACTTATACGTACTAACTCTCTTCCCAAACTTCCATTGACGCGACATGGATTTATTTCAGAATTTCAAATGCCAAAATATTTACTTTTATATTACTTTCTTTTACCGAATAGAGATTTTTGTTTTATTTATTAGTTTAATTTGAAAAAGTACTTCAAAAATTTAAAAAAAAATTCAAGAAAAGAAAAGAAAATAGAAAAATTGATGTACGACTCCTGGAGAAGTTGTTCACAAGAGAAAAAAAAACTGTAGGGTTGGAAAAAGGTAATTTGTTGTAAATTTGATTTTGCTCTCGACTTCATTCGCAGCGAATTTCAGTGAGATTTTTATTATGTGGGGCTTTCCAATACGAGGGGTGTTACTTTGAAAAGCCTGCTGTTCCGCTATATGTATGTCACTTTTGACGCTGTAATTTTTTGACATTTGAAAAATGAATGGATGGCGGTATCGAGAGATGATTAATAATTTTTTATGGTTGGAATTGGATGGTATTGATCTGGACAACTTTTACTTTCAGCAAGTCGGCGCTACGTGTCACATAAGCAACGAAATCATTATCATTGATCGTTTAAGGAAAAGTTTTCCATTGTTTTTGTATTAAATTGAGGATCTTATTTTCGATAGTTAGAACCAACCGATTTTGCCATATTTGGAATTATCAGACTTATGTAAAAAATGTCACATTTTTCTCGATAACTCTTTGCCGCTTTGAAGGTAATGTCATTATGTCGCTCTCATAGAAACCATTGTGTATACTAGCAAAAATTTCGGTTTCTCTTGAGTACAATTCTCCACGAGCCGAATCCCTCGCCACAGACGGGAAAAATTGGTCATCACTTGGTGCGAGATCCGGTCTATAAGGTGAATGCTTAAGACTCCCCTAACCGAACTCTGGGAGCTTCTGGCGAGTCACTATCTACGTGTTTGTGGTCTGTCGTTCGCGTAAACAAATGCAATTACTTTCTTCTTTGCCAAAGTTGGCTCTTCCGGGCGATTGCTTCCTTCAGACAATCCCATTGCTGGTAGAACAGATCCAAATAAAGAGCTTGAAATATCAACTTTCGTGCCGCATCTAGCGTGAACCGGGGGTTACAGATCACTAAAGCTATCTATTGCAGAAATAATAGATTACTTTTTTACGGGAGCAATATACATATATATGTACGCATATCCAAAGTATTTATTGAATTAAACCATACTTGAATATATGCTTAGTTCGAAAATGCAAAAAAAAAAACGAAAATAATAGTAAAATAAAAAACAATATTTTTTATGCACACATAGTCACATATACCCGAATTTCATAACGAAACAAAGTGAAAATTTTAAAGGAAGAAAAAAAATTAAAAGTTATGATGAGAAAGTAAATCACGCCAAGCGGTTGTTCGGTTAATGAGAAGCCAACATTACTTATTATTATTGTAACACATGTGGTAAATATATTTATTTGTATGTACTCATTTGCCGCCTTCCAACTTGACGCAACAAAAGGACAATGACATGTCGCTTACCACATAGATACAGGCGTTGGAGACCAAGTGGAATATAATAAAAATATGTATTTACATACTCGTATGTCAAAGAGAAAAAATAACACGTAAAGTAAGAAATAAAATACAAGGCAAAGGAAATCGCAAATGTAGTCTGCACCACACCCCGCCTACCACATTCAGCGAAAGAACACTAAAAGTGCCATACTCGATGGCGACTTTTTGCCATTCACGCAAGCCAAGCAAGCAAAACCCCCTTAACACGCCCTCTATCACCGTAACGCTGTCTACATACATACATACATACATACATACAGTTGCGGTTCGCTTATGTTATCGTCAACACAATGAATGCGTAGCTGTATGTATGACTCATAGCAACTTGTATGCCACAACGTGGCGGCAACAAACGTAAATGTGGCAAATGGAAAGCAAAAGGGAGGCAGGCAGCAGGCTGGTAGGCAAGAAAACAAGAGAGCGAACTTAACTCCATGAATTTTAACACATATTCAGCCCATGCAAAAGTAAGTATAAATATGTAAATATATATATATATGTATGTATATGCGGATACTGGTTTCCAACAAGCATATAAAAAAAATTAGAAAATTGCAAAAGCAGTGTCGTCTAGTTGTACATATATGCATTTGTTTTTAGTATTACAGTCCTTTTTTTCTTTTTTGTAATTATATTTTTGAATTCTTTTTTTTTTTTAATTTTTTTTTTTTTNACTCGTTTGAATTGGTTAGACTGTTGGTCGAATCTGGTTCAGTGTTTTTTTTTTTTTTTTTTTTTTTTTTTTTTTTGTTTTTTTTTTTTTTTTTAATTTTTTTTTTTTTCTTTTTTTTTATTTTTGTTCATGGCATGAGAGGTTCGTTGTCGTCGCCGCGTGCAGGCTTTTGAGCAAAAACGCTTAATTGCGTTAAAATGCAAACGAAAGGGATTACAATTAACACAAAAACATGAGTGCTGAGTGTCGTGTCGAGTGATATGTGCAGCACGAAGGAGGCGAGAGGTGATCGAGCTTTAGGTTTATAAATGGCATACACATGTATATACTTAAAAATACAACGATATTTTCATATGTATCTACATAAGTACTTACATGCACATGAATATGGACGAACATAAGTGGAAAATCGAAACTATTCAATATTCATGTGACAAAAACATGAAGGAAGGGAAATTCTAAGCAAGTAAAATAATTAATACAATAATAACATATATTTCATATTGAATATTGTGAAATTAAAATGATTTAAAATATAAATGAATTTAATAAAATGGAATTTAAATTAAATTAAATTAAGTAAAAAAATAAATTACTACTGAAATTAAAAATAAAAAAACGTTTTGAGGTAAAGGAAAATAAGTTAAGCAAAGTAAAATAAAACCAAATAAAACAAATAATAATTTAAAGTAATTGATAGATTAAAATAAAATAAAAATAAAATAAAATAAATTAATTTAAAATAGAATTTAATTATTAAACTAAATAAAAATATAGTATAGAAAAAATCAAAAACAAAATTAAAATAAATAAAATATAAAAAAATAATTAAATTAAACAAAAAAAAAATAAAAAATAAATAAAAAAATAAATTTAAAAAGAATTAAAAAAATAGATTAAAAAATAAATAAAAGTTAAACACAAATAAAAAAATTAAATAAATTGAAAAACGTAAAACAAAATAATATAACAAAGTAGCTATAAGAAAAAGTTTAAATCAAAACAACTAAATTAAGTTTAATAAAATAAAATAAATAGAATAAAATAAAAATATTGTATAGAAAAAACAAAATTAAAATAAATAAAGTAAAAAAACAAAATTAAATTAAAAGTAAAAAAACAAATTAAATCAAATAAAAAAATTAATTAAATAAAATAAAAATAATAAATAAAAAAAATAAAAAATAAATAAAAAAAAATAAATAAATAAATGAAAAAATAAATAATATATAAAAAATTAATAAAGTGAAAAGTACAAAACAAAATAATATAACAAAGTAGCCATAATAAAAAGTTTGAATAAAAACAATTAAATTAAGTTTGATACAATGAAACAAATCCAAAAATCAAAAACTCAAACTAAAATCAAATAGTTTGTAAATAAAACAAAAATAATAAAAGAAAAAACAACATGAAAAAAAGATTAAACTAAATTAAATACCATAAAATAATATAAAGTGAAACAAAATTAAAGTAAATAAAATTTAATAAAAAATAGAAAATGTAATTAAATAAAAAAAATTAATAAACTAAAAATAATTTTAAACTAATAAATTTATATAAAATGAAATGAACAAAAATAATAACAAAATGAACTAAGTTAAAGTAAAATGAAATGAAATAAAATACAATACAATAGAGTAAAAAACGATTAAAAAAGTTTAAATGAAATAAATTAAAAACACGAAACAAATTAAAATACAATCAATAAATAACAAAAAATAATTGAACCAAAAATTATTAAATAAAATAAAATACAAAGAAAACAAGAACAAAAAAGTTAAAAAAGAATATAAAAAATTTGATAAAAAAATAAAAAAAAAAACAAAAAATTAAAAAAAAATTAAATTAAACATAATAATCGGCGCTTCATATCCGCTGAAGCCATTTTCATTATGCGCCTCGATGTTTTACCAACGCATAGAGTAATTATATTTATTTCCTCTCAGAAATGTACACGAAGGCGCGAACGCAATTGGAAAAATTAATTTTCTATAATTTATTCTCTCGATATTGGTCAAACTAGGACTCGAATCTTAGCCCACAGAAGGCAGTATGCAATGCTAATCACTCGGCTCTTGTGGCTGCCAATTAAATAGATTTAAATTGAATAAATTGAAACGAAATA